CAGTTTCCTGAACTCTAAAATGAGGGTAATGATACTATCGCTCATTGAGAAATGTTGTGAAGCTAAACTGAGCTAATACATATTAAGGGCTTAGAATAACTGGCATTTAGTATGTTGTCAATAAATATATGTTGATTTCTATATTTGATGACTCTATCTACATTTTAAATGTTTTCCTTTCCCCTAAATTTTGCGAAAAATATTTTATTCCTATTATTTAGATTTTAGGACTTATAAAGTAAGAGCACTACAACATTTTGCAGGTTTTGATCTTTAAACTTAAAAAAAATCCAGCTTTAGAGAAAACAGTGAACTACTTTGAATCCATAAATCCAAAATAATTATAAACTAAATTAGTAAATCCTCGTCAAAGATGCTGTTTCAGTAAGCAAACAAACTAGGATAGAAATGAGAAATACATGGCTCTCACTAGAAAGAAGCCCTAGGGCTCCTTCACAGATACTGCCAAGAGATTCCTATCTTGAAGCTCTAAATTCTTCATGATTCTTTCCTTCTCTCTGTGCCCAATATTCTAAACTCAGATATTCAGTATCCTGGTAAGCAAAAGCTGTTCATATTTTATGCTGGGGTTTCATCACTATTATAGGTAAGGAAATGTAGTTTCAATTATTCTTTGAGAAGAAAAGTATCCCAATACCCAGAAGTGTATCTTACATATGACATGTGTAACTAGAGGAATAAAACCACCAGTACTTTCTTCCATGAAGTAATTAAGTTATTATATACAGCTCATATGATAGGCAGCTGAGCAAATGGATGGTTTCTTAAATGAACAGACCAATGAGATGCAATGTTGATATGAGTGCATATATATATATATATCTTGAATGTAAGACATAAACATGTTCCATATAATAAGGAGAAGTGCTAAAGTCTATTTGAAGTCTTACTAATTAAGGGACTATTAAGAAAAATGTATCTCTCCCTAGTTTTGAGGTGATTTGCATAATCTCTGAAAAATTAACATTTACCTTTGAAGAAAGCAATTCGATACATGGGTTGGAGGGTATATGACTGCAGACTATAAGGCAGCATATTAAACAGGTGCACAATGGATGGAGAGACCATGAAGGGACAAGAAAAATGCTCTGTGCCCTTAATTGCTTTTCAAAATCAAACTCCATCATGGCTTGTTCTAGCCTAAACAGAAGAAATAAGAAAAGCATTTCTTGGAGGAAATGATGGTTCTGGGGTAAGACCAGCATTCATGGTTAAAGTGTGGTTCCTCAAAAGGAAAATGAGGACTTTCATTTTAGTAGTAGTAATAATAATAATAATAATAATAATAATAAAATAAAAGGAGATTGTGTAAAGAGGCACAGGCCTGAGGTTAAGGTTAGAACCCCTTTAAAATGATTGAACTTAAGCAGGCTTTTTTTTTTAAATCTCTAATTGAATTAAATGCCTGTTAAATAAAACATCAACACGCTCTGGAGCAATACAACAAAATCCAGACTCTCCACAACATCACAATGTCTAGGATATGATCTAAAATTATTTGACATATGAGGAGCCAGGAAAATGTGACATATTTTCAAAAGATGAGACAAAAAACAAATGTCAACTGTGAGATAGTCAGAATCATGGAATTAGTAGCTGAGCACTTAAAGCAGCTATTATAACCATGCTCAGTGAAATAAAATATGCTTATAATGAATGGAAAGATAGACAATCTTAGTAGATAGAGAAAATAACATGAAAATTAGAGACAGAAAAATATAGTAGTGGAAAATGTGCACAATAGCTGAATGGAAATGACAGGAAAAACAGAGGGTAAACTTGAAGATACATCAATGGAAACCACCTAGTCTAAAGATGAGAAAGAATAAAGTTGGAGAAACAGTGAACAGAGTCTTAGGGACCTGTGGGAAAACTGGAATGCTGTAACATGTAGTGGAATCCCAGAAGCACAGAAAAGTGGAGCTGAGTGAATATTAGAAAAAATGACTGAAAATCTCCCAAATATGGTCAGAGACTTAAACTTAGAGATTTGAGATTTAATAAACTCTAAAACAAGATAAAAACAAAGAGAACCATGATAGTTACATCACAGTCACATAAATGAAAGCCAAAGAGAAAAGAGAATGTTGACTACATATAGAGAAAAACAATATATTAAATAGACGGGAAGGATGGACAATGAGCATTCATTTCTATCTTTGTAGGCCACCAATAGTGTAACAACATTTTAAAGTGCTTAAAGAAAATAAAGATCAATCTGAATTCTTTGTCTAGTGAAATATTCTTGAACAATTAAGGTAAAATAATTCATTTACAGAGGAAGGAAAGCTAAGAGAATTTACTGCCAGTGGAACTACATTGTAAGTATGCAAATGAAAGTTCTCCAGTTTGAAGAAAAATGAAACCAGTTGGGAACTCAGATGTTTAGAAATGAATGAAGTATCTATGAAAAATAAATTATTTTTTCTCTTATTTTCTTTAAAATACTTATGAATATATATAGTAGCGCCATATAGTAGAAATATAATGTGAATCATCTAAGTAAAATCTAGTAGCCACATCAAAAAGTAAAAGAGACATTAGCCTTAACATATACAAAATAATATATAAATTATAATTTTTACATGTAATCAATATAAAAATTGTTAGGTGTTTCACATATTTTTTCATACCGTCTTCTAAAACTAGCATGCATTTCAGACATATAGCATATTCCAATGCAAAACAAGCACATTTCAAGTGCTCAAAAGCCACTGTAAAGGACAGTGTTAAAGATTTATTTATTTATTTATTTACTTAAAGATTTATTTATTTATCCATACAAGAGCTGGGGTACAAGCCAGAGATGCGGGGGGTGAGAGGATTCCCAGAGACAGAATGGGGAACAGAAAAGGCAGACGGACAGAAATACACTGTTGAGCGGAGCAGTGGGCGAGATAGGAGAGGTCTGCTACACCATATGGGTTTCTCTCTGGCCAGCTGGGAATCGAATCCACACTGCAGAGGCTGTGGACAGCTTCACAGTGCTGTGCTCAACCCTCTGAGCCACCAGGGAGGCCCTGGACAGTGTTAATTTAAAGCAAAAATTGTTTTTTGGCATTTATAGGTATAAATGTAATGCAAATGACAACGATGACAAAGGATGGTGGGGGGAAGAGCTGTGAAGCTTCCACATTTTTACATGAAGTGGTATAATATTAAATTTAAGTACATGGTGAAAATACATACTGTTATCTTTGGAGCAATCACTAAAACAATTAGTGCAAAGAGGTATAGTTAAAAAGGTAATAGATTCATTAAGATAGAATGCTAGCAAATTTAAATATTTAAAATCCACAAGACAACAGAAAAGGAAAATTAGAGATACACAAAGTAGAGGAAACAATCAGAAAACAAATGATAATATGACAGATCTCAATCTAGCTAAACCAACAATTACATTGTTCAAGCACTAGACACTTCAATGTCTGGAGATCAACATAATGAATACAAACACAAGGTTGAATTATATGCTGTGTACAAGAGACATACTTTAACTATAAAAAAAAGACAGGTGGAAATTATTTAACCTTTCATGGAGAAAGATATAACATGCGAACAGTAAATATAAGAAAATGACTATGGAATGGCAAAAATATCAGATAAAATAGACTTCGAAACAAAGAATATCACAAAAGATAGAAAGGGAAAACTCAAAATAGAAAGTTCAATTAATCAGGATGATCTAACAATCATATATATATATATATAGGTATATATATATTAGGTATACATTTATAGGTATATATATATATATATATATATATTAGGTGTATATTAGGTGTTTTACATATATATATACACCTAATAACAAAGCCCTAAAATACAGGAAACAAAAATGGAGAGAATTAAAAAAAGGGAGAAACAGCAGTTCTACAAGCAGTGCTAACAGCCTCTTTGAAGTTATTGTTAAAACTAGAAACAAAAAATCAGTAATAACATAAAAGACCTGAATGATACCATCAACTACCTTGAGCTAATCTGTATTTCTAAAACAATAGACAACCAACAACTGCAGAACCAGTACTCTTTTCAAATGCATGGGGCACCCTGACTAAGAGACCATATTCTGGTCACAGAATCAAAACTGCTATCTTTCCTTGCCTCCCTTAAAAAACAAAATAAACTTTTTGGGAAAGTAAAAGCTCTTTTTCCCCCCAAATGACAGGTGATGTTCAGATTACAGGTTATTAACAAGTGCTCAAACTATCAACAGAAATCATCACATTGTTATAGTTATATGGACAGCCTTAGAGAATCTCGAATTTAAGATAACTGAGTGAGACTAAATATTCAATACATTTTCTAGGGGCTTCCCTGGGGGTGCAGGGGGTTAAGACACAGCATTATGAAGCAATCTGCAGCCACTGCAGCACGAGTTCGATCCCGGCCATGGAGCAGCAGACCTCTCCTGACTGGCCCGCTGCTCCCCTCAGCAGTGTCTTTCAGTACATCTGCCTGTTCTGCTCCCTACTCTGGTGAGTCCTCTCACCCCCCATATCTCCGGCCTGTGCCCCAGCTCTTATATGCATAAATAAATAAATCTTTTCTAAAAAAAAGAAAAAAAAAAAAAATACATTTTCTAAAAGACACTGTAATGATTATTCAATACTTTATTATAGTTTCAGGTTGCTTCCTTTGTGAAACCATTTTTCTAGATTTCTATTAACTTGATTTTAAGGCTAGAACACTGATTTCCCTAAGGAAAAGAGAAAGCTCCGACTCAATTTCCATAGCAACTCTAAATCCATCACACTATATTTGCATATGGGAGTTTGACTTAAATACATTACTCTGTGAATTGGCAATGTGTCTAAGCTGTGGTTGCTATAGGAACCATAACTTCAAATTTCCTTTTAAGTTAAGTATGTCTTCAAACCTAAAAACTGACCAAGGTTCAAAGATGGTTTACAGTGATAAGTCCATAAATACTGTATCATTATGAAAATGAGAATTATAACACAGTCTTTGGTTTATAGACCAAAAGGAATTCAAGATATGATTTGTCAGAATGCAGATGGAATAAGACTCACCAGCAGCCACACACCCTTATCTGACAACCTCTGCTTATGCTGAAGCTTGCACAATCCAGGTAAATCACCCAACTACACACAGACATCAAGTGCTGACTTCTCTGAGATGGCAGAAAAAGCTAGCACATTCTCACAAACACAGAATGCACCAAGTATGTGGAGTATATCTCTTCACACACAAGCAAATAATTTGTGGTGCGTGGCGACATAAGCAGTCGGATGTAAAAGCACCATTATTTTGCTGGCCAATGTACACAGTCCTTTCTTAATTATTGACAGTGCTAATCCATTCCATCATGTTTCTTACTCTACACAGTCCCTCTGACACAAAAAAGATGCTCTGGATCTTCCACTTAATGCTTTTATTGACTGATTACAGTCAGGTCTCGCAAGTTAATTATAATATTAGCCTATGGTAAAATTTGGGGAAAGATATATATATTGCAAAATGAACCAAGAATTCCAAAACCAAAAATGAAAAAAATGTAAATCATCTATTTTGGATTATACCAGCCATTCCTTGTTTCCACGAATGGAGATAATTAAAAAATGACCAACACTTAGAGAAATGACTGCTGAATTCTACTAACCTGGATCACTGTGAGAGAACTGTGATACATATATATGAATTTCCTAGACAGCAGAACCTCACCGCATCAAGCATTTTAATTTATCTTAAATTTTGGATGGGCAAAAATCAGACTTGTGTATGAAGAGGATGGCCATAGGCAGAGAGAGAAGTTTAGACTGTAAAAATAGTTCATGGGGGCGATGATTAAACAGAGAGAGTTAAATAGAATTTTAAGAACTTGATGGGCGCTCCGAGTGCACCGCTTAGTCATGTGGGTGTCACACAGACCCTGGGGACTGCTGAGAGGCCTGGAGCTAGATGATTCCATAATAAGGGTTGTTCAGTATGGTTTTGTTATGTTTTTTTGGCTTTTCTTTTATTGATGCTTGTACTTTCTGTTGATATCAGTGTACTCCTTGTCCTAATAAGTTACATGCTGAGATAAGTCCATGTTTGTTGTAATTATGTCTAAATAAAGAAAGAGCACATAGACTCTGGACAAGTATTCTAGGAACTCTCATGAGGAGAGAGTGAAGTGCATGCATTTCATAGCACAGATTTTACAACACCTATTCTCAGACTAAGAAGATATTTGGCTTATATTTTCTAGGTACTATTGCTAAGAGTTGGATACATGGCTTCTAGAAAAAAATGATGCCTTATTGTATTTAAAAGGAGCTTTCTCATATAACAGCTTAAAAAAATTGTTCTATACGGAGTATAGAACTTCTTAAGAGATTTTTGCATGGAACAGTTTTACTACCCCACAATATCCAATAGCCAGAACAAGCTTATGAAAAAAAGGATGGCTGGCTTGACTTTCTTCCCAATCAGGATCAATGAAGTAAACATGGTTAGGAGCTATCAGCAACCCAAGTCTCAGCAGTTGCCGTCTGCTGGAATATTTAAAATCCAACCTATTATTTGTTGACTTGTTTCCCAAGTTTTGTCAAGGTTAAATGTATTTCTCTCTCAGGTTCATGTAGTTCTCTATCAAAATGGCCTAAATTTCTCTGCAGATCGGTGAAAGACAGATGAGAGAATTCCTAGAGAATAAGTCCAACGAAGTGTAACAGTTCTGTTTGGAGGAGTAGGAGTGTGGGGTGCCAATTCAAAGACATGTTATGATTGTGGAAGAAAAATATCCTGAGGCCTGTCCAATTTCACTACTAAAAACTTGACAAAGTGGCAGCTGGGTTTCAAGATGAACCTTTCTATACTTCATTAACCACTACAGAAAAAGACCTGAAGATGAAAAATACCAAGCACCCTTGATTTTCTTACCGGCTTACCCTCTCACTCCCTGCACCTGCCAAATTTCCAGCTCTGGAGAAAACATGCTGCTCCTTTTCTTGACTTTAACTTCTAGAAGCAAGAGAGTTTCTAACAAAAGTTGAAAGCCAATTTGAATCACCATGAATTTTTACTTCTCAAATTTCTTCTGCTTAATTTTCATCCACCTCCCCCTGATAACTTCTGCTCCCCAAAGTGAATATTCCCCCTTTCCTCCCAGAGATGCCCCAGGCCTCACTTTCTCCTTCCAGCTTCAAAGTCATGATCCATCGATATTTTCCTCCTTTTTCCTATTGTCAATATTTCTTCCCATGGACTTTTCTTTCATCTTACAAATCTGCTCATGGTGCCTTGTCCTACAAGTAAACAAAATGGAACCATCCGCCTTCCACTCTCACTTCCTGATACTACTACCATCAGCTTTTCCCCTCAGCCAGCCAAATGTTTTTATTTTTCTCAAATTTTCTTTTTAAATTTATTTTCCCCTTCTCAAATTTTTACCAGATAAATTCATTAAAGGTGAAATCTATACTTATACATCATTTTTCACACTTGTCAATGCCCTTGTCAAGTCACCGCAATCTAGATGTATGGCCTCAGCATTTTAATGGACTGATTCTCTATAGGATTATTAATCACCTCCTAGGAGCCACATCTCTTTGGCCTAATTTCAGACTTTGGCTATTTGATCTCTCTGAAATTACTATTTGGCACTTTTTGGTGATTCCTCTTTCTAGAAATTTCCTAGTATTTGTTTTCTGTTGCTGGTTTTCTAGTATTTTCCCTGATGTTCATCTTTTCCTCAGCTTCCTTTTCCTCTTCCCCTTAAATATAAATATTCCCAAAGATTTGTGCTTGTCTTATATAAGCTTATTCTACTGCTTCAAAATTAGATTTTTGCACTGTCTCAATTTCCTTCTTCCAAGTCATTCTTCAACCCATTTCTGGTCCCAACATTTCATCAAATGACTCCCAAGTTGAGAAATCAATTGGATTCTCCAGTCTTCCTTTCACTTGACTTCTTAGCAAATTTAGACTATATTGACCATTTTGATTCCTTCCTTCTTGCTCAATACTCACTTCCAGTTTGAATCACAAGGAGAGGTGGAGATTCACAAATGTTTCCCTCTAGCCTGATTGTCTCTGAGCTTCAGGCATATGCATGCACACACATACATATAATGTCTATTTAGAGCTCCTCTAAGATGTAGCAAAGAAATCTCAAACTCAGAATGTTAAAAAAAAAAAAAAATTAGGATCTCTTCCTATATCTGGTTTTCTTTCAGCACTTCCTGAACTACCATCCATGAAGTAGTGTGAGACAAATCAAGAAGACATGCTAGAAACCTTCCTCTTCTCTTTTATACTAATGTCCACCCATTATCCAATCTATTTTACCTCCTAAATATCTCAGATTTATCTATTCCTCCTCATCTATACTCACTATTTTAATCTTGATGAACAAGAATCCATCTACCATACTCATGAGTTCTTATGTGTCCATGTCTGTGTGCAGATTTAACAGGCCTAACCCGGGAGATGAGAAAACTAAGTCTGGTTGGGTTACAAAACCTGCCCCAAGTGGCAGGCATGGTAACTTAAAGCCACATTTGACTCCAAAGTTAGTGCCATAGGAAAGAAAAGAAAATAAATTATAATATTAAGCAAATCACATGGACATAAAGGAAGTAAGAAAATGGCCTTTCTTTTCATTTTTGTTAATGATAGGATAAGACTATTTGTGACAACTATTATATAATCATATCATTCACACAGAATAGACAGGACATGATAATTTCAAAGATACTCTTTCTCACTTCTGCCATCCCTACACACACACACTTTCCCTGGAACCATATAAGAATTAGTTGCAGACATGATGTGTTAATTTTGATATTGTTAGTATACTTTCAGAAATTGTGCCAGATTTCCAATGGTCTCAGCCTATCTGTAACATAATCATGAAACCCTAAACAAGAAAAAGACATCAGAAATAGTGAGGAAAATTTTGTCACATAGCTATTACTATCTATTTATTATTGCTGTAATAATTTCTAATCCATTCTGACTGGACATAAAGAAGCAATCACTATTATTTACTAATTTAACAAGTGTGAACAACGCTTTTTACATTTGGGAGGGAGACAAATGGCTTCTGAGAATTTCATTGTTTAACTGCCCAGTAGCACAACTGTTGTTTATAATAAGGACCCCAGTTTTACATGAACACATTCTGCTTGGTAAAGTCTGCATTTTATGCAGGGATGTTTTTAATATATTTTAGAAAGATTTTTAATCCACAAAAGTTTTTTTTAAGTGTAAAATTCTAGGAATTTATCCCTCGTGACTTCACTTTTGGATGAAGCCTTGCTGGCTATTAACACTTGAAAACTGACACTGCACTTACAGGACACAGGATGCATAGTTCATGAATTCCCTTTGAAGGATTACAGATGAAGACCCATACTTAAAAGTATAAATCAGCTCATATTTTGATCTATAATGCCAGTAATTAAGCAGTAAAAAATATTTCTGCCAAAATCTAAAAAGACTAGAAATTTCCCAGCAAAACAAGAAGGAAAATGGAACCTATCCTGGAATATTATTTTTAACATTCAGATTCAGTTTTATAAAGCAAGTAGTTCTGCTTTTTGAATTGTATAAATCATGATCATTACTTATGATAGCTAGGTCCCTGCTAGAAAGATAAATGTGATCAAACAGACAATACAAATCATCCAGAAGCACACAAATCCCAGCAGCTGGGGGATTAATTAGACAGAGGGAAGCACAGGAAGGTCTGAGCTATTTTCCAAAATGAAAGTGATTCTGATTTCACTGTTACAATACCTGCTGTGGGGGAGTTTGCATGGTGAGACTTTTTTGGCAGATTGAAGATCTGTTCACCAGGGTCGGGAGGAGGAATTGCATCTTGCCCTTGTCGTGCTTCCACAGGATCATATTCCTTCCCATCATAGTTAGCATCATAGAATTTTTTAAACCACTGAATAAAATCCAGGTTGTCCTGGAAACGTCCTTTCACTAGCTTCTCCACTGGAATTACCTGCAATATAAAATCACAAACCTCAGGGATTTTGTCTTGAATACAGCTGCAGAGTACCTGAAGGGTAACTATATCCAACATGTCTGCAATTCATGACTGCTCCGCTTTCCCCCAACTTCTGAGCCAGCTGTATCCTAGAATTTATGTAATTTTCTTTATCCTATTAAAAAAGTGAACTAGAATGTTAGAGTTGCTTCTCCTGTGAACAAACCAGACAAAATAATGAATACCCTCAGCCATCAAGAGGGGCTGCTCATCTTTATGGCATGTTGATTACCAAAGCATCTCCCCCCAAAACATGAGCTGGGTGTTGTGCTATTTCAAGATTGATGGATTTTTTTCCATTTCTTGGTCTACAACTTGGTAAGCGGTGAGATAAACTCTTATAAGGATTATAGCCACCAGAGAATGTGAATAAGATTCAAATCATTGCAAACATTACACTAATCTAATGGTTCATATGGAACAAAATGAATTTTCATAGGGTTTATCTGCAATGCAGAGAAGTATGAAAGTGACAGATTACACAGGAGCACAGCCATATGCTATGGGAGTGTGGATAAAAGCACATGGAGGCTGGTGAAGGGGATCAGAGAAGTCATTCTGGAGGAGGAGTTTCACAGCATTTATATCAACTTCTGAAACAGGAATCTCAGTTTTGTGGAGATAATCTTTCCTGATGGCAACCTAAAGAGCCAACCAGTCATCCCTCTAGAGAGCTTATGGCACCTGCAGAATTAGGACAAAAAAAAATGGGGCATGATTGCTAAGCATTAATTAGGTGGGTTGCTACTTTTGAAGGAAAATAGAAAAGTACCTTGATATCCAAACTGCACCATTACCAGATTCTTACTTTCTCATCTTTGGGTTGGAACTCTAGTTCAATGTGAGCCATGAGAACTAAGAAGTTAGGAAGGAAGTCAGCTCATATGTATGTAAAATATGTTTGAGTGTGAGATTCTGACAGAAACAGCACTAAAAGCACCTGGCTTCATCATGTAATGATATGAATAGAAGCTGTATAAACTAAATTTACATATAAACTATATATATATGTATATAAACTAAGCAAAACCTTGCTACCAGAGGAGCTATAATATTATGATAGCATACACAATGGATAACCTTTAAAAATCTACAAACACCTTAAAAATTATGACAACTTGAAAGAAAAAAAGGAACCGAAGCACTTAGGCCACCTATACTAAATCATTAGCAGTAAATTAAAAAAATATTTTTATGTAGCTGAAATGAAATAAGTACAGAATGAAATCAAGAGAAGCAAACTTTTGGAGGAGACCACACTTTTCATAGACTCTTCCAGCAATGGAAGATGCTTATATAGAATTCCTTTCATACATGCACTTAATTGACTGATTAATGAAATATATTTTCACATCTTCTGATTTATAAGTTTTGTTTATGCTGATATTGACTGTTTCACAAAGTGCCTTCTTAGTCCATAAGGCCCTTTAACATGCTGCTATATTTTCTGCCAAATAAGTGGACATTTAAAAACAGCTTTAGATAATGGTAATACATTAGCGGTTCAAAGAAGGCACTTAACTCTGTTGACTTAATTTTGCACTCAGTCCCTTCCAGAGGCAGAAGTTAAAAATCAGAAGCAAAGAAAATCAGTGGCAAGCCTATCTCTTCAGAGAAGCTTCCCATGTGCTGTTAAGCTATGACATACAGGAACAAGAACCACTGTCTCTATCCAAGGGCTTTTGGGTAGAATCACAGCTAGAGAAGCCAACATAGGTCATCAAGATCAAGGGAGCTCCTCTATAAGAATGTTATTGTCAATATTCTTAAAAACAGTTCACCCTTCTGTGTATGTACACTTCTAGTGAGATATGGAGGCTACTTTTATATTATATAGCACGTTCTATCAATAAGCCTACAAACTGCCTTCTTTTTGATCTAGAAACATGTATAGAAAAATGAATGAAAGGGCCTCCCTGGTGGTGTAAGGGGCTAAGCACTGCATTAGGAAGCAATCCGCAGCCTCTGTAGCAGCACAAGTTCGATCCCTGGTCAGCCACGGAGAAACTCACATGGTGAGGCAGACCTCTCCTGTCTTGCCCGCTGCTCCCCTCAGCAGTGTACTTTGGTCAATCTGCCTGTTCTGTTCCCCACTCTGTCTCTGGTGAATCCTCTCACCCCCTACACCTCTGGCCTGTACCCCAGCTTGTATGCATAAATAAATAAATCTTAAAAAAAAAAAGAATGAGAAAGATGTAATTAATACTAATAGTAAGTAAGGAGAACCTGCACAGCTCTGGATTTGAATATATATGGAAAGAACTAGTTGAAAATTAACCAGAGAAAGAACATAAAGTTGAAAAGAGTCCAAATTCTTAAGATGTTAAAGAGAACATGTTCTGAAATACAATTTCTGAGAAAGTGAGAAGCTAAGATTTTCTTAATATTTTCATAAGAATGTTTTGATATAGGAAGATATTAATATTAATTGCATTAAATTTTAAAAATATATGGTTTCCCAAACTTTGTTCTTTTCCCTTAGCTTCCATCTTTTATGACCCAGTAATTTATTTTTTATTTCCATAGCCCATTTATTGCTCTATTTATGCAAGTTTCCCTTTCTCCCTTTATTCAAAATTCCTTTCTTTTCAAGTCCCTCTAAGAGACAGATCTTAAATAAAGAACATGCAGAAATTGAGTGGATTTTAGCAATATTTCTTTATTAGGGGGAACAGGACTCCAGTTTTACTCCATTTATGTCATTCCAGGACTAAATTATAATAATTCAACAGGGAAAAGGCAATTTATGAAGGTTGACTTAGTATCTACACTATGATAGACATCCTCACATGCATTTAAACTCCATAATCAGAGGTAAGGCGTTTTAGTTCCATTTTATGGATGGGTAAACAGGCTCAAATAATTTAAATACTTTGCTCATGTCATGGAATTGGGATTCCAACCATTTTCACTGTAACAAGCTGTTTCTCCAAAGGAACAAAAAACACAAAGAACCACAGTGGCATCTGGTAAACATAAAAATTTCTCATCTGCAATGCTAAACAGAATAACCACATTTGAGCATTTGTAATTCCTGTTAGGGTGTTTAGTCTAATGGTGATAAGTTTAGAAATCTCCTTAAATAAAAACCTCAGACAAATACAGGAAGTGAGGGTTGGTGCTTTATGCTATGTACAGACCCCAATCTACTGCTGTGGTATCAGGGTATGTCCCATACACAGATATACTTTTGGATTTTTGCATTTCTGTGCAAAAAATATTTTTAGGGAAGGCAATGCATTTTTATGGAGGTATAAGTTAGTTTCTTACCTTATCAACATTCATTCGCTTAAACGATGCTTGCAGAAGTTTAAAATTGTGAATATACTCATGCTCCAGCTTTGCTTGAAATTTTACTTTCTTCAAACTAATGCAGCCTGGAAAAAGCATGTCCATGAACTGGCAATAGGCAGCTCCTGGAAAGAGACAAGACAAGTACTTGTGAGAGTCTGATATTAGCTGGTGTCACAGGATAGCTAGGCAGGAAGGAGCCCTCCTGGGCACTGGCTGGCTTCTCCTTGCACTTACACCTCCTTGTCAGTCAGGTTGGGTGCTGGAGGGAAGGGCCAGCCTTTCCTTAAGGCAGCTCTGCCACTTCTCCTCCTAGTCACCATACCACATGGAGGGTGCATTCACCACAGCATCATCAAATTCCACAAACAACTGGGGTAGGAAATTGGGATAAGAACAACTCTTAGCTTTTACCAGGAAAAAAAGGAAGATTTTTTTTCTTCCATCTAGTGGCTACCAGCTCCATGTTCTCAAAATATATAAATATAAGAGAAAAACAGCTGAAAATTTAAATAGGAGGAATTATAAAACTTCTCAGGAAATGTGTAGCTAAAAAACCACATATATGCCCAAGCTGTTTTATCCATCTTGCAAAATGACTTAGGTGAAACTGTAACTCAGCCGTCTAATGCCATAACCAGTTGTTTACCAATTTAATTCCAGTCCAGAGCAATGGGGTTCCTACATTAACATGAAGGATGAGGACATGGAGATTCTGAAAATTTATAAAACCTCAGAATCCTGCTGTTTATGACTGAGAAATAAAAATAACAGAAATATTCAATGATTTCCCTAAGGAAGTGGTCAAGAAAAGTCTGATTTTTTTAAAGAACTCTTAGATCATGACAACATTAACTACAAAGACTTCCAAGATCATATTTACTGATTCATAGCTTCTTAATAGTACAGGATAAAGGCATTTACAGAAAAGAAATTCAAAGCCAGAATGACCATTTTTCTTCTACAAGGAAGAAAAGCAACTGAGTGGCAAGAATGGGAACAAGCAGCCATGTTTGTGATCTTGCTTTTCTTACTTCCCACATCTATCAGTCTGTTTCTAGAATATGCCAATAATAGACCTTTCTGGAATATGAAGGGCAACCCTCATTCTTTGGTACCAAGGTTTCTGTGAAAATCTTTTCATTTCATTAAGGTGACTCATCTTTACATGGAAGAATCCACTCCATTTCTAATGTCAAATTGATGTTAAGAATCCTTTCCTGAGATAGGAATCCAAAACAGGAGGGAAGGAGTTGTTAGGGATCTGAGGACTATTAGAACAGGAAGTGGTGGGGCAAATCATTATTTGTACAGAAGAGGATAAGGTGGTGAAATTTAGGTCACCATAATTATCACCTCTAGAATCTTTGCATCTGTGATACATCTCAGACGCCAGCACCCCAACGACTATGTATTAGTGTGTTCTTAGTCAAGCAGATGGTATTTCTTAAAAACAAGACCAAATAAAACAAATCCAAACAAAAACATTAGGGGAGGTAAGGGAAACATCATGATCGTGGGGGCATTCTTACAGTCATCATCCAATTACTCAGTTCTTCCTTTTAAAGTACCACCAGATGGAGCAAATTCCAACAGCCACTTCAACATTATTTTTATGTAGATGGGCATGTTTAAACACAACTGTCTCATCACCTGCTTTTCAAAGAGTTATTTTCACTTTTTTCTAGAGTTTAGCATAAAATTTACCTTTGAAAACCAGATATTTATGTATTCTCACAAACCAACCAGCCAAATTACTCCTCTTCTAAGTTTAAAAAGTAATAACAATTTTTTGGGAAAAAAATTTACAAATAGGGAGAGTTGGAAGAAGGAAAGAAAAAGCATCTCTAGTTTCCACCCATGAAAACTGCTTTTAAGGCTGTGGGGCATACCAAAAAAATTTTTTTTTTTTAATTTAACAGGTCATGATTCCCTTTCTGGCTCATTTAATATTCCCTATGATGTTTTTAATAGCTTTCTGATTTTTATATCATGCTTACAACTTTCTCAAATCAATATTACATAAGTATTCATGTGTATTTTCTTCAAGTACTTTTATGATCTCAAGTTCAACATTTACGTTCTCAATCCATGTGGAATTAATTTTGCTCTGATATAGAGAATAGTTCTAATTTTAGTTCTAATTCCAAATGTTAGAGGAAATTCCTCTTTTGGTCCCCCAGCACTTGGGTACCTTCCCCTCTGGGTCGATACTGCAGTGGGCTGTCTCTCACCATAGTGTTGACACTGGGCACACACTCCTGTCTCCCCACTAGTGGTCAAGATGCAGACCCTGATAATGGATGCATTTAATTTGACTAATGTTGACTGTAGCGTGATTTTTAAAATTTATTTTATTGAAGGAACATTGGTTTATAGCATTATATAGTGGTTTCAGTAGTGAGTTTATTGATAGTGGATCTTTCCTTTGGGTAAGTTACTATGAATAATCATATGTTCACAGAAGTTTGGTAATTTTTAACATGTTTATATACATAGTTCTTATGTGTGTACAATGGACACTATAGTCCATTATGTTATCCATACATGGGGACAAAATGGGTATAATAAGGCTTTGGGGCCTTAGAAGGTTTAGTCTCCTGAATTTACATGGCATTCTCAGAAGTGTAGACTAAGACCTGCCATTTTCCATGGAGTTAGTGAGCTGTAGACCATACACATATGAACACACACACACAGTATATATTCTCTAATACTCCATATACATGTCATTAAATAATCAGACTCCTAATCAAGTTACCATGAGATTATAAGTATACTCTTGCATTAGAATTGAAATAATCAAGTATTTCAGTTTTATGTGATCACCTCTGTAAATTCACTTTGATATCTACTTTACTTCTAATTCCCTCCTCACTCAAATCTCCTCTCTTATAAGCTCTACTCAGATAATTCCTTTATTATTTAAAATGACATTTTCATTTCTCACCAAAAAGAAGAAAATCAGATGTAGGCCCCGAGACCTCCATTCTGTCTGAGTCCGAGTTTTGAGGGAGAGACAGAAACGCGGTATCCAGCCCATCCTAGTCCAGACCCCAGGGCTCGGCCTCCAGCTCCTCAGCATCCTTTGTTTGCTGACATTTCTGAGCTTGGTTTCCCCTGACTCAATATCATGCCATAAATAATCTATACTTTTCCTACTGAGGAGAAACACTATCTTTATTATGTATTACTTTCCTAATACATTTAATTCATTTTTTTTCTAGACTTAATTTTTTTATTGTCTGTCCCTTGGATAGTTTCAAAGTATTAGAGTGTTATTTAAATGTGATGTGATATATTGCTATCTGTAGAATAATTTCCTCACTTCTGTTTCTCAAAATTTTCTTAATTTTTTGTCATATACTTATATTTTCCATTATATTTTTGAATTTTTCATTCATGGTATAGCAAAAAAAGGTTTCTTTTAAAAATTATTCATTTATTTACTATTAAATAAAGTAAAATATCTTTACTGAAATATTCCCATATCAAAAGTTTAACATTTTATTTTATTTATTTTTTTTAAAGATTGATTTATTTATTTATACAAGCACTGGGTACAGTCAGAAGTGCGGGAGGGTGAGAGAATTCACCAGAGCCAGAGTGGAGAACAGAACAGCCAGACTGACGAAATACACTACTGAGGGGAACAGCGGGCGGCAGGAGAGGTCTGCGCGTGCCATGTGGGATCCGCGGCCAGGGATTGAACCAGCGCTGCAGCCTAAGGCTGCAGGCAGCTTCACAACCCAGCGCTTAACCGCTGCGCCACCGGGGAGGCCCCAATTTTAAAGTATAAAATTTTAAATTATAAATTTTAAAGTATAAAATTCAGTGGTGTTTTAATATATGCAGAACTACATGTCCATCACCACTATCTAATTGCAGAAGATTAGCATTAGCAGCCATTCTCTCTGCTTCCCAGGCCTTGGTAATCACTAATCTATTTTTCATCTCCATGGATTTGCTTATTCTGAACATGTCATATAAAAGGAATCATAAATGACCTTTGGTCTGGTTTATTTCACTTAGGAAAATCTTTCAAGATTCATCCATGTTGTGGATGAACTTAAGATTCCTTCTAATGGCTGAATAGTATATTCCATTGTATAAATATACATTTAACTGATCTATTCATCTCCTGATGCATATTTTGGTTGTTCTAACTTTTGGACTACTACAGAGCAATGATGCTATGGACTCTTGGGATACACCTAGGAGTGTAATACGGTATCTTCTATGTTTAATATATATATTATTTGAAATTTTATTTTCCTTTTAAAATTGAAATGTAATTGACATAACATTTTAGCTTCAGTTGTAAGAAACAGCGATTTGATATTTGTATATATTGAAAAATGATCACCATAACAAGTCTAGTTAACACCTATCACATATATAAAAGAATCCTTTTTTTGTTGTGAAAACTTTTAAAATTACAACCTTAGCAACCATCGAATACACAATACAGTATAATTAACTGTTGTTCTCATACTGTATACTGAACACTGTAACATTTATTTTATCTGGAAGTTTTCACTTAAAAAATGTGTTTTTACTTTCTTGATGGTATCCCTGGAAGCATAAATATTAAGTTTTGGTGGAATACAAACTTATCTACTTTTTCTTTTGTCATTTGTATTTTTGTCACACCTAAGATACTATAACCTAAAACAAAGTCATGAAGATTTACATATGCAGTACCTTTAAATGTTGTATAGCTTTTACTGTTAGGTCAATGATCCATTTGGAATTAATTATTGAATATGGCATGAGGTTTGGGTCGAAATTCATTATTTTGCATGTGACCATTTAGGTGTCCAGCACCATTTGTAGAAAAAAACTATTCTTTTTCTACTTAACTGTATTGGTATTCTTATCGAAAAATCAGTAAATTACATGAGAATAAGTTTATTTCTCAGTTCTTATTCTATTTCATTTTTGTCTATCCTATTTAAGAACATAATGTCTTGATTACTGTAGCTATGTACTCAGTTTTGAAATAAAAAATGGAAATTCTCCAACTCTGTTCTTCTCAAGATTATTTCAGCTATTTTGGGGTCCATGTATTTCCATATTAATCTTAGGATCCACTTGCCAATTTCTATAAAATGCATCTGAGATT